CGCGGAATGGCAGTTTTCGTAGAATTGAAGTTTCAGTTTTGGAGGGTGGGGTTGTAGTTGAAAGGGCTTTTTTCGAGCCACCCTGGCACAAGTCTGCTGATCATGCGAGCTGCTATACAGGGGTGTGGCTATATCCTGTATTTCTACATGGCTTTGCAGGCTCAACTTGGGACTGTCAGGATTCGATTTAGAGGCCAGGATCGATCGATGTCTTCCGAGACCTTGGCTACTGGGACTGGCTCTTCGAGCACGCTTCAAGCAGGCTGTGACCTCGTATCCCAGCCACTCCCTGAGCTCATCCAGCTCAAGCAAGAACCGGAAGACGAAGAAGAACATGAACTCCGAAAGCAAATGCAGGTGAGAGTGGGATTGGGAAACCCCTAAAATACTAAACCCCTCCCTATATCAATCCTAAGCCCTGTATAAATCCTAAACGCCAAAGCAAGTACATAGTGACATTGTGTATATAGCAATCAAAATATAATGCTTGCAATCTAATATGTTGTATGCCAATTTCAGGAGCTCTTCGAACAAATGAATAACAGCGGGGGCCCCATCGACCTGGAAGACTCAGATGATAATCAGAGCGATGACCAAGAAGTGGTTGAGGACACACTCGTTGAGGCTGGAGTCCACGCCTGTAGCGCTAAGGGTGTATAGGGTTGCAGGGTTTACAAGGTTAACTACGTTTGTATATATGGCTTATTGAAGGTTCAGGGCTTTAGGATTATAAGGGCTTACTATATTATATGGGATTATTGTCATAAAGCATATATTGCTTACATGGGGTTATAGTTTGTCGGGTGTATAGGCTTGAGGTTTCAAAGCTTCAGGCATGTTTAGCTTGGGTTGATTTTCGTCCATAAAGGTGTAGAAGATTGGCCATTGGCATAAATTCAGGTTATCTATAGTATAAATGTATCGATAGCCAAAATCAGAGGAAAACATAAGACACAATCACTTAAATGTCCCTATATACAAAGCCTTTTCCCAAACCCATTATAAATCCACACAGTGTCCAGTTCGGATACTCGGTGATGATTAATTTCCGCTTATGGGGGGTTGCCCAAAGGTTTAACTTCCGCTTAATTGTACTTGAAGCTCCATGAGCCAAAGTCCTTTTCCCCCTAGACCCTTTATAAATTTAGTAACCCGATCCCAACTCAGTTCTCTGAAAGACATTCGGAGGATTCTGCTGGTAAGATTGGCAACGGCTTCGTGGTGAGCTCACAGGATGCCCAAGACCCGAACCTACCGCCAGAGTCTCCACCTCAAGAAGATGCAGCAGGAGCCAAAACGACACTTCCAGCAGCCGCAACTTTGCCAACACCGGCCCCAACACTGCAGGAACCCAGCACCGACGGACGCTCACAAGTGACACAGCCTACGTCTTCAGCCAAAGCACCACCGAAGGTCCCGGCAGCCTCAACTTTGCCAAAGCAAGCCCCAACACCACAGGTACCCAAGGCTGTTGGACACCCAGAACTGACAGAGGCATTGTCTCCAGCCAAAGCAGCGCAGCAGGTCCCGACAGCCACAACTTTGTCAAGGCAGGCCCCAACGTTGCAGGCACCCAAGGCTGCTGGAAACACAGAACTGACGCCAGCCAAAGCAACACAGCAGGTCCCAGGCCCAACTCAGCCAAAGCAAGCCACACCGCCCGTACCCAAGGCAGGCGGACTCCCACAGGCTTCTTCTCCAGCCAAAGCAACACAGCACGTCCCAGGCCCGACTGCACCGCCGGTACCCAACACAGGCGGACACCCACAGGCTTCGTTTCCAGCCAAAGCAACACAGAAGGGCCCAGACCCAACTCAGCCAAAGCAAGCCCCACCGCCGGTACCCAAGGCACACCCACAGGCTTCGTCTCCAGCCAAAGCAGCGCAGCAAGTCGCAGCAGCCGCAGTTTTGTCAAAGCAAGCCCCAACACCGCAGATATCCAAGGCAGACGGACACCCGCAGCAGGTGGCGCAGGCTTCGTCTCCAGCAAAAGCAACACAGCAGGTCCCAGCCGCAACCGTGCCGAAGCAGGCACAGCAAACGCCGGCAGCCGCACCTTTGCCAAAGCCACTCCCGACGCCGCAGGTAGCAGGGGGACACCCACAACCGCCACAGGCTTTGTCTCCAGCCAAAGCAACACAACAGGTCCCACCAGCCCCAAAGCAAGCCCCGACAGCACAGGTGTCTCCAGCTAAAGCAACGCAGCAGGTCGCAGCAGCCGCAGGTTTGTCAGAGCAAGCCGCAGCACAGCAGGTGCACGGGCACTCGCAACAGGTACAGACTTCGTCTCCTCCAGCCAAAGCAACACAGCCGGTCCCAGTCGCATCGCAGGTACCCAACACAGGCGGACAGTCAAAGCAAGCCCCACAACCGCAGGCGCCAGCAGCTCCGGGTAGCAACAGTGCCCCAGTCGAGACACCCTCAGAAGGGGCCATTGACAGGCGCATGAGACGTCTCATGAAGCCTACTCCAGATGGCCAGTATCGCATAGCAGAGCACATCCGTACGATGTGGGAGAACAAGGCCACAAGAGATCAGGCAATCAGCCTGTTCGCTGGTTGCAACTACCATCCGGACATGTTGCACAAAAAGACAAATAGGCTTATGTAGTGTATGCTTGGTTTATTTATCTATATATATATATATATAGGGACCAGCGGTTGCATCAATATACATATCTAAATAGACAAATAAAGAAGCAAATAGACACTCATATATATATATATATATAGATATATATATATATGGGTGGTTGTCAAATTTCTGGTCCCCTTTTGGGTCCTTATTATAATACGGCGCCCATTATTTAGGGTACACCAAAAGGGACCGTAATTTTGACAACTACCCATATATATATATATATATACACACATATATATATATATATATATATTATTATTTGTTTATTTGTTTACATATATATATATATATAGATCGATCGATAGATAGACCGATAGATAGATAGATAGATAGATAGATAGATAGATAGAAGTCAAGTTTGTAGGGCTGTTATATAGGACTGGTGTACAACATAGGGGCTATGTATTTATAAAGCTTAAAGCCCCATATATCCCTGTAAGCCTATAGACTCTGTGAAGCTAAACCTGAAGTGTCTTCCTGCAGGAAGTCTTCCTCAAACGCTACAACGTTACGGTCACGAAGGAGCGGGAGCATCAGGTGGACGTGCCTTTCATTTACTTGTCGAAAGCTGAAATGGCGGAAGATCCCTACAACATGACCGAGATCCTGGGCCGACTGTATATGCGAGCACAAATGTATATGAGCATTAAAGTGTTTGGAGAGTGCTACCATGCATTTAGTCTGACAACTAAGAGCTGACATCGAAGCGGTCGTGAGCAAAGCTGAAAAGGATCCGACGCAGTTCATCAGGCCGGAAAGTAGTTTATATATTTATCGATGTTCTTTGAATCCATGCAAACGCCTCAGGTGGCACACCTTCAAGAAGAACACATTGACCTACTACATGGAACTGAAAATTCAGGGTCATAAGCGGCGACCTGTCCGAGTCAGATTTCAACTACAGTGCTTGATTACACGTCTGCAGCGTATGCTATTCAGAAATGTAGCGCATGGGGGTTTAGTCCACGTTCTGTATCAAATGCTGTCATTCTAAGGCAAGCGGCCAGGGCATCGTATTCGGAGACGCAGCAGTTCGAGGCAGAAGAGGACGGGGTGAACATGGACCTTTCCTTGGACTTAGCTGTGACGGAGCCTGTTCCAACGGCGCGAACCTAGGCTAACTTACGTGGTCTTAGGTTGTGTTGAAACCCTATATTTAAACCCTATATAACCTAATATAGGGTACAACACCAACCCCGACCCCAAACCCCACCAGGCAATCACAAAAGACACGAACCCCACATTATAGGATTAGTACAATAATGACCTCCACAGAAGGTGCCCTGGTTCTCTATACAACTCGATGTCAGCTTACTAGGCTGACTATATCTCTATATTTGTTATCTTTCTATTTGAATATCTAATCCTAATCTATGTCTTTTTCTCTTCTTTTGCATAAACTTGTGTATATATATATAGACTTCGTTTGTTTCTTATGTCTGTATCTAGAACAACTACAAGTTTAAATCTAAACTATCTAGCTATCAAAGTTTATGTCGATGTCCGTGTCTATATTCTTGTGTTACTTATTCGACCAAATGAATATACCTATATGGGCATGCCCGAAATAATATCATGCAATTAAGTGGCTCAATTGCATATTATTATTTCCTCGCCTGTCCCAAAGCCACGCACCAGTACTTCGCCGCGACCCCAAACCCTCAACCTATGAAACCTCCCTCAGGCTCTCACCCAAGCCGCGCAAGCCCAAACCTTGAGATCGAAACCACTCATATTGGGCTTTGAAGGTCGGGTGGAGGTAGGGTTCAGGGTTCAGGGATGTTCAGGGTTGGGATTTAGAGGGATGTGTGTGTGTGTGTTTATACCTATATGTATACATATATATATATATATATATACAGGGGCATTGGGCTAAAGAAATGTGTCTTCTTGTGATGACAGTGGCGCCTCTGCTTTCCGGTTGCATGGGTGTTCAGACCTCCCAAAGGCTCATATCCCTATATGAAAGAACAAACCACCGCAAGGGTTTGGTGTAAAAAACACGGTTAGAAGTCCAGGAAACACATAGCAAGGGTTAGGGTCTGTAAAGGGTGGCTGAGTTGTGGCACTTCCAATGCCTTTTTAGAGATCCACTCCACCCCCAACGATCAACGAGGCCTCCAACACCCTCAATCATCCTGAACCCTAAAGCCCTCAACCGCAAACCCTTAGGATGTCGACGATTTGTATTGCTAGATATGTATTGCTGGATAGATGCACTATTGTAGTAGGATCCTTAAATTTCTACACCGGATAGACTCCGCGCACCTCGCCCCAACGAGGAGTTTAAAACCTTGAATCCTTCGATCTAAACCCAAAACCTTACATCCGTTTTTACATACCCGTGCAGCCCAGGTGAGATGTCCAGGGCGGCCGAATCCCTCGCTGATCCAGAGATCAAAGCAGAATGGGAGAGGGAGACGGCAAGCACCTTGAAACAACTAGGATTTCCTGTTGTTGAAGGCCCTACCAGCTTCATGCACCTGCTACCAAAAGCATCTACATGCCTAACCCGCCGCTTGGCGGGCTTGGGCGAATTTCTCCTGGAGCTGGAAAAAGCTGAAAAGGGTGAGGAGGCTGCGAAACCCAAAAAGGCAGCGCTAGGAGGTGCAGAGTCAATTCTGTCGAAGACTTTTGGATGCTATAACCCAGTGCATTCGGCTTGTTGTCTCTTGTGTGTATCTGTTGTATAAGCTTGAATAACATCGTGCTTCATGTCTCAGGACATTGACCAAGATGCGAGCGGTCTATAGTGCTATGGATACCATCAGTGATTCTTTGAGTGCCCTCCAAACGGAGGGCCTCATGACTGGCTTTTATGAGATCCTTCGTTGCATGTTCAGAGGACCTGCGCAGCCCCGAAAACAAGGCCCAAAACTTCCAAGATTATGATTGAAAGCTGCAAGCCAAGGATCGAAGGCAAAGTCAAAGTCGAAATGGAGAACGCACGGCGCGTGTACCTTACTGGCACGACATAGCATCAAACCGAATATATGTATCCAAACTTGGTGCACTTGTGCACCTGTTTGAACCCCACTATAGCCTTGAAGCCCCGAAGTTAAAGTCCCAGACCGCAGCCGAGGCTGATCGAATCATGGGATGTGGAGAATCGTGCGAGGAGTGCTTCATGTTACCCTGGGTTCGATGCTTTGAGACTCTGGGTTTACTTTGCAGGGCTTACGCAGGGCATGGGGTCTGGCGTTTCCATTTTGGGCTTTAGGGTTTCGGGCATATAGGGCGGGTTGGGTGTTTACTGTGTAGTGTGTGTGTGTGTGTGTCGAGATCGATTGGAGTTTAAGGTTCCGGGACCAGGTTGCGCAAAGTCGGTGGCTTCACGATATAGGAATGATAGCATTTGGAGGTTCATGGGTGTAGGGAACCAAAAATAACCTATTAAGCCACAGGCATGGGTTTATTTGGCTGCTGTACAAGGGAATAGAAGCATTTATTGGTTTATATATAGGAAAGAGCCATATAAACCAAAACCCCGCAGCCAGCAACCAAATGGTTCAGTTTGGCGGCTACAGTAATTAGTTGTTTTGGGGGTGTAGGGAAAAATGTATAAACCCTAAAGCCCAACACTGAATGGCTCAGTTTCGCCGCTATAACATTTTGGGCTTCAGTTTGGCTGCTAAATTCTTAGGGGTTTAGGGGTGTGGCGAAAATTTTAGGGAGTCCTAAACTTCTAAACCCTAACCCCACAGCTCCAGCTTGAACAAGTCAGTTTGGGCCAACCTCGAATGGTCCAACCCCTTCTAGTGCACCCTAAATAAACCTCAACGAACAGAATAGTGCTAGGATTTGGGTTTCCATTTGCGTCCAGGACCCTGCTCGGAAAGGGTACATCCAAGACGGCGACGGCCAAAGGAAAGGCAGAAGGGACCACGAAGCGCAGGGCCATCCCCAAGCCCTCGGCGGGTTCAAACAAGCGGCAGAAGAAGTGAGTGGCTGCGTGCAACATGTATATGCACCGTACCAGCTACGAGATGTGTTCCATCAAGCTGCTTGCCCAGCTCTGTTTTGAAGAATCAACCGCAGCGTCTGTCCAGGGGAGAGTCAAAAACTCTAGTTGCGTAGCTCGAGCTTGCACCGCTGATCCTTTGATTGCATATATCTACATACATGTGTACACACATATAATGTGCCAGGCGAGCCAGACATTGCTGGACAATGTGCCTTGGAGGCGCTTGCGCAATCTGTGGCTGATGGGGCTACTTGGCTGGATATCAGCTGCCAAAATCGTTACTCGTGCAGTCTCCACATACCGTCTTCGGGTGCAGGGTCGAGTTTATAATGGGGTTCCTATTTGGACCATTACCATAATTCATTATACGGTTTACGGCCTATAGTATATAACCCAAAACCCACTTTTTTGTAGGTTCTGATTATAAACCCTAATATGGGATTTCTAGGGACCCTACAAAAAAGTAGGTTTGGGGTTCTTAAGGTATACATATATGGTTTATAAACAGGGTGCGAACCCGCATCCACGAGGCAGCTGTTCACTCTTAAGGGTGTGTGTGTGTGTGTGTGTGCGTTCCACAATTTTAACTGGGCTTATGGCGATGGGTTTGATTTGAGTATTGTGTGTGGCCACACAGTGTTTCCCGATCTACTGTGCAACGAGAACTTCAACCTTCTCACTGCTGTCACTCCCTCCCATTGGTCGAATGCCTATGCCCCCTAACCCTTAAGCAAAGCAATAAATCCAAAACTATAGTGGTGCCCAAGGCCCTCTGCCCAACTTGCTGGTGCCCAAACTTCTGTGGGGCGCTCCAACTACTGCTCCCCCGCAACATTGACTAAACCCAAAGCTAGTCTTGCCCAAGCAGGTGCCCAAACCACTGGTGCCCAAGGTACTTAATAAGCCTATATGAAGGGTGCCCCAAGTAAGCCACAAGCCCCCCCCCCC